GGTTTTTTTTTTTTTTTTTTTTTTTTTTGTCAAGTCAACTAAACCCAAAAAGAAGTGAGTTACGTTTGAATTAAATTTGAAGATGGAAGTCTTCTTTCGTTTCTTGATGGTAAAGACCAAGAACGGCAATTCCCGAGGTAGCATGAACCTCATAACCTTAACCATCAGCTAATGCCTCTAGTCTTGGCAAATTGGCAACTTTATAATAGTTATCCATCAACTAGCTGAGATTTTCGATATGCTAGCACAATTGACTTTGAGGGCAGACATTGAAAATCCCGGACTATCCTAAATATCCTCTTCCCCTCACCTCAATGCAAAAATAGGGTTATAACTCAACCCTACTTTTAAGATTATTATGGAAATGCAAGAATATTTTATGTTTATGACTGATATTAATGATGGGTTGTGACTCATGAATGGTTAATATCTGAGCTTTGTGAAATTTAGTTATTAATTTAACATGTATTATAGATAAATATGATTTTTTTAAGAATTAAAAAAATAGAACAACTCAAAAACTCAACCCAACCCAACTCAAAAATAAAAAGGTTGTATTAGGTTGGGTTGAATTAGGTTAGATTGTTTGATCACAAACCTAAATGTTTAAAAAATTCATACATAGGTTAGGTCGGATTGGATTGGAAAAACCTTAAATCAGCTCGAAATTTTAGGTTGGTTGGATTGATGACCCGAACCTAATTCAACTTTCTATGTGAAATCCCACATCTGTTGGAAAGGCGAACAAAACATTCCTTATAAGTGTGTGGAAACCTCTCTCTAGCAGACGCGTTTTAAAACCGTGAAGCTAACGATGATACGTAATGGGTCAATATAGACAGTACATGCTGACAGTAGGCTTGAGCTGAAGTGGACAATACTGCTATTAGTGAGCTTAGGCTGAAGCGGACAATATCCGCTAGTAGTGAGCTTGAGATGTTACCACTTTCAAGTTGGGTTGGTTTGTCGAGTTGTCTTCTTTTTTATAAAACATATTTAAAAATATTGGTTGTAACCTTTTTTTAATATTTATTTTAAAAATTTTGGTTAAATAAAAAAAACAAAATAATTAAAGAATAAGACATAAATGTGTATTCCTTTCACATAGATTTTATTTGGACCACTAGGATTTATTATTAAAGAGCTATAAATAATTTAATAAATTCAAATATCTCTCAACTAAATATGAATACATTTATTTATTTATTTTAATTATGGAACAAGTTTGCTTTGCTGGCTTTATAAATTAATTACAATTTAGGGAGCATTGAATTTTCTTTTAATTTTAATTTTAATTTTAATACAATTTATTTTATTAATATTTGCATGTGACTCAAGATGGTTTTTCTCTGTTTCCTAGAAACCTAATTTATTTATATTAACTTTAAAAAATTACTTAATTTTCTTTTAATTATTGTTTAATTATT